TCCGTGCACGTATCCAAACCGCTACTCATGAAATTAATAATGCTTCTTCTTCTTTTATGGATCGAGATCCGGCTGCAGGATTGCTACGTTCATCGCGTATATTCATCATTTATAATAATATCAAATTAAAGCTATTTTTTTCTGTACCTGATAGACTACGCCTGCCTATGTAAAAGTGGCCGCAAAAGTGGTTGCGTGGTGAGTGGTGAGTAATTAAAGATTTTTTTGTTATATTTATACGTTCCTAGCGTATAAAAATAACAAAATCTTATATTATCTTTTATGTATTAAATTAAAGCTAATTTTTTTCTGTACATGATAAAATACCTCTCACCTATGTAAAAGTGGCCTGAATGGAAAGAAAAGAAGGAAAGTATATTATATTATATATCATTTGTCAGACAAGAACAACGATTACCATGTAGATTACAGTGACAAGGTAGATTAAGGTGAAGGAGAATTAGCGCGTTAGTTAACTGTTTGTTGCCACAACAACAGAACGACTTTTAACAGACATGTTACTCTTTTATGGGATAATTTAGAAAAAAATAATGATATTTGTTTTGTTTTATTTTTCATTTTAAAGGTAAATACCACTTTCCGTGCATTAATTACAGAGTTTCATACAAACTTTCATCCCCTATTTTACCCCCTTACGGTATGAATTTCGAAAAATCCTTTTTAGCGGATGGCTAAAAAGGATTTTTAGAATAAATTTATTATTATTATAAATTATTTAATTTATCCATGGGCGGCGGTGATCACTTTTCATCAGGTGAGCCTCCTGCCCGTTTGCCCCCTTAGTCCCATAAAAAAAAAAAAGTGGATGGCTACATTGTATAAGGAATATGTCCTCCAAATTTCACGTTTCTACGACCAGCAGTGCTGTGCGTTGATCGATCAGTCAGTCAGTCAGTCAGAACGAAGCATTTTATGTATATAACGTATATAGATTAACTTGAAAACTTGTTTTGTTGTTAGTTTTGGTTCCATTTGGCCACAATCTCTAAGTTTTACAATATTTTGATTTACTGCAAAAATCAGACCAAAAACATTTATCGAAAAATTATGATCTTTGGCAATGAAATAGCAATAACTTTTTTGTTTTATTGAATTTTATATAATACTTTCTTAGATTTACGCGAATATTTGACATTTTAAATAAAACTATCTTTTCGGATTTTGTCGCGGATTTATTTGCATTTTTGTTTCCCGACGTTTCGAATGCTTTACAGCATTCATGGTCACGGGAGAGACTGAGGTGTTACATGTCTCTAAGGTATAGTTGTTACAGACAGCCTACCCACAATTAACAAAATGAAAATTTCACTAATTACCTTACAATATTTTAACTTTAAACATTTTTATAATTTTGATTAGTTTTATAATTGAATATGGAATATTATTTATTTAATTTTACTGTTATTATTATAATTATTACAATTTTAAATTATTAATTAGTAATCTATATTTAGTGTTGCCATGATTATATTTATAACCATAAAGAAAAATATAAAATATAGGTAGTATTAATTATTTAAGCCCTATAATTGTTCTATGTGTAATTTAAAAAGTTAAAATTAATTAAAGATAATAATTGTAATTTTGTTTGCTATTATTTAAAAACAACTTACTAAGCAACACTATTACTATATACTTTTACAAATGAAAAATGAAAAATATTATTCTGATATGCTGTCATTTTGATTCACACAGTAAGAACTTACTACATCTACCTGTCTGTTATGTTTATATTTATTATTTGATTTTATTATATTAATAACAGGATCCCATGACGATGGTAGTATAGTGGTTCTTTAGCTTTCTTAGATGTATTAGTTATGCGTATCCCAGATAACACCCTGAGTCATACTGTGTATCGAAAGAAGACCCATACAGATAGGTACTTGAATGGTGAATCTCACCACCACCCTTCACAGTTAGCTTCCGTGGGAAAATCTTTGTTTCAGAGAGCGCGCGGGATCTGCGACGAGCAACACCTTTTTTTTTTTTTTTTTTTTTTAACGTTGGGAAATGCATTTACGCACGACGTGTGGGACTCACCGGCGTAATACAGCCAGTACTACCCACGAAAACCCAACAAAACCTTCCCCCGTCTTAATGGGGCGTCGCAGGATCGCTTACGCATTCAACTACGACGCCCCGACGGCAGGTCTGCCGAAGCAGACCACCACAACCATGGGGTTGCTCCACAGTCCACTCTGCCATCAGAGAAGTACCAGGAGCAACCCGCATGGTACACCGCCCCCCCGAAGAGGGCCACCTCCCACCGCCCACCGAAGTGGGCAACCTCCCTGTGCGTTTCTTAGCTTCGCGCCCGGTTGGATTGCCGGGCACTACTGAGCCCCCCCACCACGACAAGGTGAACGCACGTTGGGGGGGCGACGAGCAACACCTGGCCGGAGAACTGCAACATGTCAAGGAAGTTCTGCGAGACAACAAGCTGCAAGTGCCGCGCCTACGTCACAGGGACCGAGTGAAACCAGCCACAGTCGAGCGCGTCCCTGCAGTCCTACCTTACATGAGAGGTGTCACAGACAAGATTGGCTACATTCTAAAGCGAGCTTCAATTAAAACTTACTTCAAGCCGCCAAAGAAAATTAGTCAGTTCTTACCACCTTTTTTTTTTTTTTTTTAACGTTGGGAAATGCATTTACGCACGACGTGTGGGACTCACCGGCGTAATACAGCCAGTACTACCCACTAAAACCCAACAAAACCTTCCCCCGTCTTAATGGGGCGTCGCAGGATCGCTTACGCATTCAACTACGACACCCCGACGGCAGGTCCGCCGAAGCAGACCACCACAACCATGGGGTTGCTCCACAGTCCACTCTGCTATCAGAGAAGTACCAGGAGCAATCCGCATGGTAAACCGCCCTCCGAAGAGGGCCATCTCCCACCGCCCACCGAAGTGGGCAACCTCCCTGTGCGTTTCTTAGCTTCGCTACTGCTACTGAGCCCCCCCACCACGACAAGGTGAACGCACGTTGGGGGGGATAGTTTGAGACCCTAGGAAGGACATAGGACACATTTTATCCAGGAAATCATCCCATAAGGGGGTGAAAATGGGGATGAAAGTTTGTATGGGGAATCAACCTAGGGACGAACCCGAGCGAAGCGAGAGTGATTCGCTAGTGATGTGGTATGTTCGCAGACAACGGCCCAGTTCTTACCACCTGTCTAGTGCAACATCCCTCTACAAGATGCAGGAGTTTACAAGCTTGATTGTGATTGTGGGCTCTCTTACATCGGACAAACAAAGCGATCCATTAGAACCCGGGTCAAAGAACACATAGCTGATGTGAAGCACCGTCGCAATACAACATCTGCTGTCTGCAAACATAGCCAGGACCGCCCAAGCCATTATATTCGCTTCGATAGACCTCAAATCCTGGCGAAAGAAAACCGATATCGCCCTAGAATGATTCGAGAAGCCATAGAAATTAAAAAAAACATCCAAATTTCAATAGGGAAGATAGCTGGGTACTACCATCGTCATGGGATCCTGTTATTAATATAATAAAATCAAATAATAAATATAAACATAACAGACAGGTAGATGTAGTAAGTTCTTACTGTGTGGATCAAAATGACAGCATATCAGAATAATATTTTCATTTTTCATTTGTAAAAGTATATAGTAATAGTGTTGCTTAGTATGTAAGTTGTTTTTAAATAATAGCAAACAAAATTAAAATTATTATTTTTAATTAATGTTAACTTTTTTAATTACACATAGAACAATTATATGGCTTAAATAATTAATACTATATTTTATATTTTTCTTTATGGTTATAAATATAATAATGGCAACACTAAATATAGATTACTAATTAATAATTTAAAATTGTAATAATTATAATAACAACAGCAAAATTAAATAAATAATATTCCATATTCAATTATAAAACTAATTAAAATTATAAAAATGTTTAAAGTTAAAATATTGTAAGGTAATTAGTGAAATTTTCATTTTGTTAATTGTGGGTAGGCTGTCTGTAACAACTATACCTTAGAGACATGTAACACCTCAGTCTCTCCCGTGACCATGAATGCTGTAAAGCATTCGAAACGTCGGGAAACAAAAATGCAAATAAATCCGCGACAAAATCCGAAAAGATAGTTTTATTGAATTTTGTTCTTTGTTTACTTTAAAAAAAAAATACACTATTTTTCAAGCAAATGGGCATCAAGGATGTATTACTTTTTTTAGCACCACAGTAGGTACTTTAAACTTGGATAAAAAATGTTGTCTCATTGAAATTCGCAACTTTAATATATTTTTTCTAAAGAAACTGTTCATGTTGTTGGGAAACACATCCTAACTGGATCACATCTACAGAACATCGTCAGACATAATATTCAGTAAAAAAATACGTTTTCTCTATTTCAATAAAATGGCAGAAATTATGCGTATTAAGGTAATAAATTTTCAATAAAATCATGAACATCAGAAAATCTTGAAAGCTGTAAAAGTATTACTAAAAAATTTTTGGCTTTTCTCATAGGGCACGATCTCATCTCTCGCCACTTTTCATTTGGACTACTATCAACGGGATTTCCAGTATAATATATATATACTAATATATAGTTTATCTATTCCATACTAACCATAAAAACGTACCTAGGGACGAACCCGAGCGAGGCGAGGGTGTGTCTCTAAGTGTTATATAAAATTAAAAGTTTTTTAAACACATTAAATTAACAAATAACAAAGGCTTATCGATCCTTATGTATATGCATAGAGGCTACATCCTCTTGTTCACACTCCAGGGTGCTTACATGATAATTATTGTAGCAAAAGAGAACAAAGTACCTAATTACGATAACATTGTTTTAGATTACTTATCTAATTAGGTAATCTATAGAGTTACACGAACCGATGGTATTTAAAAGGAGTAACAATGTTGCACGTCTTATTATAGTGCATAAGGAGTTTTGTATTGAACAATAAGATAGGTATATAATAGATAGTTATGGTAGCCGTAGCAGCGTATTTCCTTCTTGTCTCAGCTGTTTTAATCAACTCGGCTCCAACTAAAAATGATAGAACTCGCGATGAGATTGATGAACTATTTATAAATCAAGTATATGGTAAATATATATATATATTTTAAAGTTTATTAAAAAAATTAAAGATTTAATTCGGACGTAACCGATACGCGGACGCTTATTATCGCATCATTAGTAGTTAACTGTCTTATCTTCAAATAAAGTTAATATTTTGCTCTCACGCTCTAATTTAAGTGTGTACACTACAGTGTAGTATAATATTTAAATCGGTTATTTTTTAATTTTCAATCATAATATTAATGTAATACCTTAAAGTTGAGGTACATTCTTGTAATATTGAAAAAATGTCGATTTGTTAGCTTAAGAGTTATTCGCGGATATACAACTCACATAGTAACTACCTACAGTAGTGTAGTGGTGGTGTAGTGGTTTAGCATATATGGCTGCACATCTGGAGGTCCTGGATTCGAGTACCGTTTCGGGCCAAGTTAAGTTATTGAATCTTTCTGTTTAGTAAGCCTCCGTAATGGCACGGAGTTGGGATGTTGGCGGTGCTTCACCCTCGTGCCTTGGAGAGCACGTAAAGCCGTTGGTTATCCTCCTTAACTCTCACTGGTCGTGTCGAATAGTCGTCCTACCGGAGCGAGTATAAGAGTGACAAGAATAGAGAGTGCACTTGTGCATTATAATATCCCTTGCGCAGATGGCTAGTCTCAAAGAGATTGGCTGCCGGGGCCAAAATTGGTCGGGAGGATATTATTAGAGAACTGTAGATCTAATATTTAACCATTTTTGAAGTCGGTTGAATTTATCTGGAATGAACAATTGAAATGCATCATAATACTTTCTTCGATTTACGCGAATACCTACTTGACATTTTAAATAAAACTATCTAACTATAAAAGTTAAAAAAAATATTGTAAGGTGCTTTGTTGCCATTTTTAAATTTTTTGAATTCATTTTGTTATTTGTGGGTAGGCTGTCTGTAACAACTATATAATACCTTAGAGACATCTAAAACCTCAGTCTCTCCCGTGACCATGATTGCTGTAAAGCATTCGAAACATCGGGAACAAAAATCAAAATAAATTCGCGAAAAAATCCGAAAAGATAGTTTTATTTGAAATGCATCATATTAAAATTAATGAACACCTTAATGCTTACTAGTAAATTTAATATTTCAATAAATTCTTTATTAAGATTCTAGTCTAGATGGAGAGTTTGGAGAATACTTCGAAGGTGACATGCTGTTGACTTCAATGCAACAACAAGCTATCAAGAAAGCAAAAATAGAACGTAATGGCCTGAAAGACAGTACTAAGCGCTGGCCTAATCGTACTGTCGTATACCATATTGTTGAAGAGGATTTTGGTTCGTTATATTGTTTATAGATGCTTCTCTCTAGGAACAAAGTAGTAGGAACAAAGTAGTAGATTTTTGTTTTCTAAATTCTTACAACATTTACTCAGTATCTAACAATATTGACGTAAATTTCATTTGCTTTTTAAAACAAAGAAAATGGCGAAGCATAGTTTAATTATTTCGTGAGTAAAATTAATTTATTCATTGATTGTAAGTTTGTTTATTAGGTTATTTAAATAATAAGTATTTGATAGTTATTGTACCGCAAACTGACCATTGGTATAACTACTGAAAAGGTGAGTGCACAATAATACAAAGTTGTTCGAAAATCTTTTTGCTGTAAGGATATTTTTTAAATAATATGAAAGTCTTGCTTGGGACCACTAAATAGGCCTTACAAGGGATGAAAATGTAGTAGTTGAGGCAGGATTTTAACGCCCATTAAGACGGGGGAGGTTCTGTTGGGTTTTAGTTCTGGCTTCTCTAGCCGGTGAGTCCCACATATCCACATGTATGTATACAGGAGGTATGCGTAAATGCATTTCCTAACATTTAAACGCATCGGCCAGATTATGATTAAGTATTATATTATTTATTGGAGGTGTACTAAAAACGATTAAAAAACATATGAGCTTCCACAATAATTGCTAAGAAATTGTTTATAATATGTCTCCTTCATGACCGTCAATGTCCCATTGAAGTTCACACAGTCATGAATGAATTGGACATATCTTGAGAATTTTTAAATTTGACTTTAATGTATTTAATTTGATTTTTAATTATGTTTCAAAAATATATTTTCTTTTTGGTTTATGTTTTGAAAGATGAATACATAAACTTACGTGACATATATAATATTTTTTATTATTTATCGTCAAAATCAAAAAAAATGTTCCATTCATGCCCCCTTTCCCATACATATTCACTATTTAGTTTAAATTATACCTCTTCCTTATATAGCAACGACTGTCCCATTACTGATTCCGCAAAGTATGTACACATGTGATATTAAGGCTTTGAATGTCTAATATTAAATCTTTCTTGCATCTCTGGCTGGTCTGGCGCAATTTCATTTATATCTTGTAAACACATATATTATCTCTACTATACGAGTACTATTTTAAATGAAAACAATCTCATATATTTAAGATAATCAATCAGTATTTTAATTAATAATTGCGAACATTTTTGCAGATGAAAAAGAAATAAAGATGATCGAGGAAGCGATGAATGACATAGCTAATAAATCTTGTCTCCAATTTCGTAAGAGAGAAAACGAAGAACACGCGGTTATGATACAGGTTTGTTGTAATTATTATATTTTTAACCGGCAACTTGTAGTCAGCCAGATCAGACCACGTTGGTTATAATTTGAAATCAATAATTTTATGATGATTTTAATAGCTGGTAACAAACAAGCTGCGTAATATAGACAAATTAAGGAAGTCGATTTTAACCTACTTTTGACTGTCATAACTCATAACTATTAAAAATGTTACAAAAACGAAGCGTTTATATATATACTAGCGGACCCGACAGACGTTGTCCTGTCTACACTTCGATGGTAGCGCCGTCTGTCGGATCCAATGTAAAACATTCCAAAATCAACAACTACTAATAAATTAAAAATTAATTAAAAAAACATTGTCCAGCGGACAAAATTGTAAATCTAAACCATTCCCAGATCCCCTTGAACACACACAAAAAATTTCATCAAAATCGGTCCAGTCGTTTGAGAGAAGTTCAGTGACATAAACACTCACAGAAGAATTATATATATAAAGATATATATATATATATATATATATATATATATCTGACATCATGCAAAATAAATTAACAATTTTATCGAGAAGATATGATGAACTAGCGGTGAAGCCGCGACGTGGAACATACTTAGACATGCTCTTTTTAGCATTTAACGACTTTACTGATACTTAATAAAAATACAGGGATCGGCAAATGGGTGCTTTTCAAGTGTAGGGTTTAACACAGAAGAACATGAAGATGGACAAGAAGGCGACGAAGAACGGCAAGTGCTGAATCTTTCTAAGGGGTGTTTTAGACACGGAACAGTTGTGCACGAGATGCTTCACACCCTCGGTTTTTATCATATGCAAAGTACATTTGATAGAGATGATTTCGTCGAAATTATATGGGAAAACATAAATCCAGGTAGGTAACTAATATAAAGAACGTGGTGTCAAATGAACACTTATATCAAAGCTATTTGCGCTCTCTTATTTTTTTGTGATATTTGATTTTTACCGTAACATCGACTTTGTTTGAGGTTCTTGTAGATACTATAATTTTTTTTTGCCTCAATAAGCATCAGCATCATAGGAAAATAAAAAAAAACCAGCCTTGTTTCCATAATTTCTTGAAACCCTAATCGCGTTAGTCCAATGGAAATTCACTTAATTTTATTTGTATATGTAGTATAAGGGCGCTCCCTCACCGGGAACATTTGCCTGTAATGTAACAGTTTAGATTCGAACATTACATCAGTGAAAGAGAAGAACTGAGCATTACAGTGCGCAACCTGTAATGATACAATTTGTAACATTGTGATACAATGTGTAACGCATCTATTCTTGTTTGATTGTTTGTTCGTTTCTTTTGCTTTTTCGAGCGAATCAATATTACCGCGCTCGATATAACCGCTTCGGCCGATATTGTAAAAACAACTGACTTGACTGCGAACGAATACTCAAAATCGAATCTAAATAGTTACGTTCAAGGCGAATGCTCGTCAGTCAGTCAGGCAGTACTTTAACGTAATGCTCAACATCGAATCTTAAAGTGTGTGTGTGATGAGAGACCACCTTTATATTAATGTTTGTAGTATAGTTGATAAATAATAAAGTTTTTAATAAACTTTCTGTTTTTTAAGGCAAGGAGCATAATTTTGCAAAGTATACTATTGATACAGTAACCGATTTCGACGTGCCTTATGATTACGGCAGCGTGATGCACTATCCGAAGACAGCATTTTCAAAAAATGGAAATAAAACTATTATTCCTTTGCAGGTTAAAAAACATTTATTAAATACAATATACAGTATAATGATCTCCCAACCAATTTCTGTTACGGCACGGTAGCCAATCTCACTGAAACTGGCCTTCTGCGCAGGAGATAATATTATAGTGCACAAATGTGCGCACAGATACAAGTGCACTCTCTATTCCTTTTACTCTCAAAGTCAGATGGGACGATACTTCGACACGATGTGTGAGATTTAAGGCGCAGCCGCGCAGGACCGACAGCTTTACGTGCTCTCCGAGGCGCGGGGGTGCAACACCTCCAACTTACCAACTCTGGCCTACTACTGAGAAATCTTAACAGAAAAAACTCAGTAATTAAACTTGGCCCGACCCGGGACTCGAAGCCAAGACCTTCAGATCTGCCGCCGTATATGCTAGCCTCGGTGGCAACTAGTTTTTTTCAGTTTATTAAACGAACTGCTTTGTGTTATAATATTATATTGTGAAATTATAATGTTAGTTTGTATAATGAAAGAGACATTACTCGTAGTATCTACCAGATTCGAATAGTTACATTCACTTGTAATATGGCGTGTTGGTAATGAGTCTCTTACAACAGCTGTTATTAATAATAATTTAACTATCCATAACGAAGTAGTCAACAAAACAGTTCAAGTAATTACATTTATTATGCAATGTATACGTATGTGAGGAACATTGTATTTATAGCTAGCTTTTGCACACGGTTCGTCTACATAAATTAATGGTGAAAAAATATCTTTAGCATTTATATCTACGCATACCCAAGGAAGGTATTTGTAACAATTGTAATGGCTATCGATCAGACGTTATATAGTTGTTGAGATGCATTGTAACGCCCTGTGGTGGCGAGTTGCGGCGAAATAGATAGCATGAAAACCTGAAAATGTAAAATTATATGAAGAATCCTACGATAGCCTGTATATACATATATTATGTACATATAGTGACATATTTGGTGTGACTAAATTAAAACTCAAATTCCAAATTGATATATCTTTTTATTAAGCAAGCCTCCTTAAATAATTATACGTATCGTTGCTAACTCGTTATAGCGCTCGATAAAGTCAATTTTTATTTTTACAGGAAAATGTGACCATTGGACAAAGGCATGGTTTATCAGAAAACGATATACTGAAGCTTAATAAAATGTATTGTGAGAAAATTGAAAGTGATTCTATTAGTTACATAGCGTAAGATATAAAGTATGCAAAGCATTAAATTTTAATTTATAATTTAGTTTTAATCGACCGTGTAAGAAAATTTATAATAAAAGGCATGAGGTATTCGAATAGTATTTTATTTCTGTTTTACTTTCATGATTTTTTCATCTGAATTATATATAATACAGATATCGCTCTGATAACGTGAGTATTGTGTTTTAATATTTTTACTCCCAGTGCCTTGCCTAAGGTTATTTAAAGATGCATCTGATTTGACCTATATTATGTCACAACAAATAGATGTTAATCCTGTTTTTTTTTAAGTTAGTACCACCCATGCTTCTTTTTTTTAGTTTCTTAAGTTTTTAGGTAATTTGCTTACGAGGCTGCACCTCATATTTTTTTTATATTTACATTATGAAAATTTAAAATATATTTTATTAATGAACCTTTTTTAAACAAATAAAAAAGTAAGGTATTAAAAGAGCCTTTAGCCAGTTTGCTAACGCATTTAACGCACTTGTTTTTAAAATGTCGAGGGCAACTTATAAAATGCTGTAGAATAATATTTCTGGTGACAGCATAGTATTATGTGTTCTTGTTTATTATTATGTGTTTGTGTGTATTTCTTAACTGCCTCAGTGGTGTAGTGGCTAGCATGTACGGCTGCACACCCGGAGGTCCTGGATTCAAGTCCCGGGTCGGGCCAAGTTTAGAAATTGAGTCTTTCTGTATAGTAAGCCTCAGTCACAGCCCGGAGTTGGGAAGTTGGCGGTGTTTGACCCTCGTGCCTCGAGAGCACGTAAAGCCGTCGGTCCTGTGCCTTAACTCTCACTGGTCGTGTCGAGTGGTCGTCCCACCGGAGTATGAGAGTGACAGGAATAGAGAGTGCACTTGTGTCTGTGCGTACACTTGTGCACTATAATATCTCCTGCGCAGTTGGCTAGTCTCAATGAGATTGGCCGCCGTGGCCGAAATCGGTCGGGAGAACATTATATTATGTGTTATTTGTGAGGGCTTCTGGGTTCAAAAAATATATCGAGAAGTTCTTACCCAGTATTTCAAAATCAGATCGACGGCCGAGCTTAAATTGAAATTTAAAAGTAGAGATAGGTTTAAAATTCATCAAAGTAACTAGCATTAATTTGTCATAGACTTAAGTATGAATAATATAATAATAATATAACAGCATTTTGTTTTATTAATCTATAAATCATGGAAATGGATAAGCATCAAAGTTTCATCTATTTCCCTTCGTCATTTCACGAGCCAGAGATCGTTCGCAGTCCGACTCTTGCTTGTATAATGTGGAATCACATAATTTGACTGCAACGTATGTATCTATATATATATATATATATATATATATATATATATATATATATATATATATATATATATATATATATATATATATATATATATATATATATATAGGTTATATTTTAAGATTATTTACATTTATAGGGAATACAATAATGAAGTGGGAAATCTTTATCGCTTTATTTGCTGTTACAAGTAGCATAGCACAGGATTTATCACCTAAAGAAATTGAAGAATTTAGTAAATTTCTTGAAAAGACATCAGTAATTGACAATGCTGAAAAAGGTAACGTGACTTTTGTTCTGTTTCCCAATAATTTAACTATTTTATATATTTTGAGAAATTGCTTCAAAGTCAGTACTAAACGCTTGAATATTTTGCTCCTATATTGTGTAGGTATATTATATTAGCCCTGTTAGAAAATTACTCTTGTCCATGAATCAAAAAAGTACTTTTTGGATCGATGGTCTTGTGTAAATGTTCATTTAATTCTAGTTGCCGACACTATAGCCCCGAAGCCTCCACATTTGCCTGACTTAATATTTCCTTATATATCCTCCTACAACAGCAAAAGTATGCACGTAAATGCAAGTGCACTCTTTATACCATTTACTCACAAACTCCAGTGGGACGACAATTCGATACGACCGGTGAGAAATCAGGCGTGAAATCGACAGTTCTACGTAGGAACTCTAGGAGACACATGGTATAACATCGCGAACTTTTCAACTCCGGGCTACCACTGGGAATTTCTTAACAGAACCTTAAACCTAATAAACAAGGAAATAAACACATACGTATATAGGTTTAGTACCTACTCGTATTATAACTGTGTCGTACTGAAGCTAGGCTTGTCAAATATTCGCCAAGTGATGATATGTGCGGCGCACTTATAGCACGAATACAGTTGTCTGCTAAGCTCTTAAAAACACGTCTTTTTTATAATTGATAATATAGATGTGACAGTTCCTGCAGACGATGATGCTTGGCAGAACAGTGGCAAATTCGAGGGTGATATAATTCTTGATGACATTCAAAGAAAACAAATTGTTGCCAAAGTTGGTAAGACTAGCCGCGCTGTATTGACTGATTTAACGTTTTTGTGGCCTGGTAAAAAGATTCCTTATATGATCAGAAGTGATCAATTTAGTAAGTATTTCATTCAAATAATCTTCTTCTTCTCCCTGCCAATTTCCCAATCACTTGGGGTCGGCGCAGTAGGTACATCTTCTGTACTGCTGATAGGATTTGGCAAAAGTTTTACGAACGGCCGCCTGCTTGACGTTAACCCTTCTTGGGAATGCTATTGTTTATCGCGGAACTCTTGTAATATGATTCACTTTCGATTTTGTTGTCTTATAAAAAAATTTATACTATTACTTAAAGTTTAATGCTATTTTCGGATATATTTTAAAATAAATTTTGATCACACAATATAATAATAATAAAAAAATTCATTCAAATAATAATAAACCACAGAAATATATCAAGACAGAATGGTAGTAATCACCTTTTTAGGGTTCCGTTTCCCTTTCTCAATATGGAAAAAATGAGCCCTTCTAGGATCACTTTGATATTCGTCTGTATACCTGTCCATCAAGAGCTTTTTCTAGGAACGTGTAGGTATTTCAAGAACGAGGTATCAAGTTGAAATTAATATCAAATACTCAGATCTGCGATCCATTGGAGCTATGAAAAAATTAAACTTTTAAATCAACATAATTAAAAGATACAGCCGGTTATGCCGCATATTTTGACAGTCACAAGGGACCTTGCTGAACCTCCTGTTGACTTAGAATCATGAAATTTGGCAAGAAGCAATGTCTTATAGCACAAGTAGGTAAAGGAAAAAATCCGAATACCGTGAATTTGTAGTTACATCAGAAAAAAAATGATGGATTCGCGAATGAATGAAATGCAATTTTTTTCATAAAACGGAACCCTCGGTCAGATTCGCACTCGTCCGATTATTTTTTTTACTACAAATGTCGTGTGTCAATTTTCGGAAAAACCACGTTCACTAAGACAATGTCACTGTGTGAAGCAACAGTGACAGTTTAATACAGTTATCTATATCGACAATCAAATAAATACGAGTATATAATATATAGGTAGTACAAACTAATTGATCATTACTTTGTATGTTTGTCTCAATGCAATAATCTCTGAATCTATATCCCAGTACAATTTCAATATTTTCACCGCTCACTTGCCTGTTTTATAGTCATATATTTCTGTGTAATAGACGTTGGCAAGGTCAATTTGATATTATATTATTTTACTTAAATATTTAAAGTTTTATTTTGCATTTCCGCATATTATTATGCAGTAACGGTATTTTAAATTCTTATAAACTTATATATACTTCGAGAGCTGGCAACAAATTTTAGGAAGGTCCTTTTGGCAAGTTGAAATTATGAAAAAATATAATTTAGTCAATTGGCGAGTTCAGTCCCGCGAGTTTGGTATAGCATTTGCGGTTACTTCGTTACTGCGCAGTATATAACATTTGGAAAAAATATATCCAAAAAACATATTTTTGGCAACTTGATTTTTGTTTAATCTTTTAATTTAGTTTTTATATAATTAAAAAAAAAGAGCCCTAGACCCTAGATGTTTTTGTCGGTTATAAAGTATTGCCAGATCTTTCCAAAGATATTTAATTAAAATTCTCATAACTATACTTTTGGCAATCTGAAATTTTAATAGTATCTTACCACTGGCATGGGTAGGATACTAATTTAAACCACGAAATCTTCGTAGCAGTCATTTCCTTCTTCTTAAACTACAAAATATTTTTATTTTACAGACGCGTCTCAAGTGGCAGAAATAAAGAGTCTTAAATATTATATCGGGCGAAAGTTGTTTGATTTTTGAAGATATGTCGGGAAAAAAAACGAGAGATGTGATTGTTATACAAGTATGTACAAATTTACAAATAATTATTATAGTTTTTACTGATCCTAATCTGTAAGAATAATACAACATTCACATTGGAGAGTTACTCTAGTAAATAATTTTAAATGAGCTCTTACTATTACAGTATCAGGGGCGGACCGTGAATTTGGGGGATCAAGGTCATGTATGATGGCATGATGTCACCGTGTTGTAACACGGTTCTTTCTCTTCCATTTCAAATGTCTCTTTTGTTGTTTTTGATTAGTCGAACTTGACTGCCTGATTGGCCAGGAATAGGTTCACAGCGTTTATATTATACAAAGATCGAGTCTATATCAACTCCGCTATTTTCGTCGCAATCAAAAAAGTTTCCAAATCTTCTAATAATCATTGATATTCGGGATCGCTATCATCATCATCTAATCCATCTTCACTGTCATATTGGTAAAGTGCATCATATATCTCATCATTACGCAGTGATCGTGACGCCATTCTGAAATAAAATGAGACAATTTAGCATCAAGTCTTTATTCGCAATAACATATATTACCATCGTTACTCAATGTAACCGGGTTGTTACAAAGGTAAAAGGTTACATTATTCATATAAAAAAATAAAAACACACATTGCTTACACTAAATGAATAAAATCATTCACTTACCTACAGGTTTTCACGAAAACAACACAATTTTACACACTTTTTATATTTTTTTAACAAACACTTCAACACCTTTTTTTAAATACTGGGAAATACATTTGGACTTATCGGCAAAGCCCAAGTACTACGCACTAAAACCCAACGGAACCTTCCGACGCATAGGAAATCTAATATATTTTGATACGTAAAATACATATTTACCTATTAGATATTTATATCTTAGAATATTGTCCGCTGACACCGACTTCGAAAATATCTGATTAGGTATCTATTCTAAATGAAAACCCCCGTTAAGTTATTTTTTTACATTTTAGTGCCTGGAAGTCGGTTTTTTTTTTAATTTTTATTTTTATACTTTTAGTGTAGACGTAATAAGCAGGTAATTTGTAAGAAGAAATTTTTTAATAACATATTCGATTAAAAAATTTGTTTAAAAAAAAATTATTTATTGTTGATTTTTTTTAAAACCGCTCGACCGATTTCGATAAAATTTATATGGGACCACCTGGGAAGTACACCCTTTTAAACAAAACAAAAAAAATCCAAATCGGTTCAGGCGTCTTCGAGTAATCGGTGAACATACATAAAAAAAAGATTCCGACGAATTGAGAACCTCCTTGTTTTTGGAAGTCGGTTAAAAATGTTTTAAGCATTTGAGTTTCTTATCTTATTGTTTTAAGAATATCTATACTTATTATAAAAATAAGTCCCCCGGCCGCGTCTTTCTGTCCTCCTGTCTGTCCTCCTGTCTGTCTGTACGCGATAAACTCGAAAACTACTGAACGGATTTTTATACGGTTTTCAACAATAGAAAGAGTAATTCTTGAGGAAGGTTTAGGTATATAATTTATTATGCTTTTATGTAAATTAGCTGAAATACGGCGACAAATGTTGAAGAGGTCGCAAAAAATCTCGCCAAATGGGAACTTTCCACGCGAACGCCGCGTAAACTAGCAAAGATACAGTTAAGTAATGTACTAGAGAATTCAAAATCTATAAAAATGCTACAAAAAAGTCCGCGATAGCATATCTCTATCTCTTACGGTTGACTTACAATAACCACTTTTATGTTAACATTTTTAATTAAAAACATTACGTTATTTTCAAAGTTATTTTCTTTAGTTCGGTATTAATCCTTATCCAAATGAATATTTTAGTTAGCTTAGTCATTTAATGCAGATTAAAATTGCTCTTTACACTAAATCAATCAGATAAATAGTTTTTGAGATATCGTTGTTAGAAGTAATTAGTAGCGAAACATTTTTAATGCTTGGCGAGCATTGAGATGCCTACGGCGAGTCCATCCCCTCTGCCCCGCATCGCTCGACCGCCTGCTCAAGCTATATAAACCGGGCGATGTAGCGCGCGATCCTAGGATACTTTTTACCGCGGGAAAATATCTTATTTCTGAGGAAAAATACAAAAACTGCAATGTAAGAGTATACTAATATGTAACACCTAAGAATTTAGTTTTTGGTCATCTGAACGCGGGCGGAGCCGCGGGCAATGCTAGTTTTAAATAAAGTAATTGTAGCAAACAATTGGAGGCTCTTGTTATATCTAACGTAAGTGCTTAAGATTAGAGTTGTAAGAGCTGTCAATTTTCTCAGAGATTGATGAGATGAGATGACATGATGTCCAGTGTTCATTCACCATCATAATCTTTCTTACAGAGCAAAGGAAAAGGATGTTTCTCAAAGGTTGGAAAACGGGGTGGCAAACAAATTCTAAATTTAGATAAAACACATGACATTGGAAAAGGCTGCTTCAGGGTAGGAGCTATTGCACATGAAATTTTTCATGCTCTCGGATTTTTGCATACACAAGCTAGGATGGACCGAGATGAATACGTTAAAATTCAATGGGAAAATGTAAATGACAGTAAGTTTACTCTTTAATCGACTTTCTAAAAACTAATATGAAGATGATCTGATGATGAGATTCGGAGATAAATGACGGAACTCCTTAAGGAATTAAAGTAATTAACTTTCCTACAGTAATTCAAAATATTTAATAATCGTAGTTGTTACTTTGCTTAAACTGTACCGGTAAAAAACGTTTCGATTATACTAAGTTTTGAGGGTGGTCAATGGGACCATGTAACATATTTATCCTTTTTAATATCATCATCATCATCCTCCTGTCCATTTCCTAAATAACTTGGGGTCGGCGCAGAACGTCTTCATACTGCTGGTCGGTTTTGACAAAAGTTTTACGACCGGCCGCCTGTTTGACATTACCTTTTACCTGCCGTCGCGCAAGGCGGAGGAGTGATAACTAGCACAGGATTGTCTTCTACAACACTTGCAGTATTTTATCTTGGATTTTTTTTAGTCGTGACGATTTAATATCCAGTTTAGTGTTAGTTTTGTTAAATAAAATAGTATCAGTTGCTGTCAACCCATAATGTGCACATACTAAGCGTAACTCTACCTCACTTTTAAATGCCAGTCATTGCCAAAATAAATAATAAAATTATCAATTATTAGTATAATAATTAAGAGTATATCTGTATGTGTTTTATATTTTGCAGCTAGAAAACAAAACTTTATGAAATACGTTGATAGACCTTTACTTGGGGGCGGAAGAGATATATTAGCTTATGATTATTACAGTATAATGCACTATTCTCGAAAGGCTTTTACTAAAAATGGACTAGACACAATTCTACCATTAAAGGTTAGTATTTAGTCTTCAATTGTTCTTCTATTAATTACTAGCGGCTCACTTCGCCTCTAGATAAACAAAAACAAATCTATACCGTACATTTTTCCAGGATAACAAGTAGTCTATTTATTATTCTGATGCATGAACTATATTATTGTAAAGTTTCATTAAGATCCAATTAGTAGTTTTTGTGTACTAAGCAGTATAAGTTACTATAGTTTTTTAACTATCCCACGGGAACTATTTAATTTTCCGGCATGAAAAGTATCTAAAATGTTGACCGGGATTATAAGGTACCACCATGTGAAATTTCATTTAATTAGATCCAACACTTTCGGAGATTATTCCGTACAAACAGACAAACAGACAGAGAAACAAAAAATTTGAAAAAATCTTGATTTGTTCTAGTTCTCTTCTTACATCCCCCTGACTCAGTTTTTAGCATTTTTTTCTATGTGCAGACATTCGATTTCTACAGTTTTATTATATGTATAGATTATAAAATTTCTATATCGAAAAATTTGCTATTGATATTTGCTTTTAGGTCAACCCAGCTATAATTGGCCAAAGAAAGGAAATTTATATAGGGGATCTAATAAATATAAATGTAGTATATTGTAATGACACCACGACGCCCCAGCCCGGGGGTTCAAGGAAAAGACCAAGAAAAGAATAGTCATAAGACTAAACAATAATGTAAACAGATTAAGTGTGTGATTTTTAATAAAAAAAAACGTTAAGTTAGATTTATTTTTCTTACCCTAATTTTGCCAAAAGTGGAAACGATCTTGTTCTTGAGTCATTGTTGAGTGCGGGTACGTTTTGATTAATTTCAATTTAGAAAAACTGCGCTTACCACTGGCACAGACACTGGAAGAGTAAGCAACGCCCTTATTACAGTTACTAAATTACGTAGTTTAAAACTTCTTTCGGCGTAGTGTTGTTCGGTATTCTTCTTGCAATAGCTTCTAATTCGCTACATAACTCCATTTAATCAACCAAGATCACTAGAGTCTGCACTAAGAGACTCTTCCAACTTTCTACAGTGTTTCAAAATAGTTGTGGAAATTTTATTCTGCATCTCATGAATGTTATATAAAGACATCCAAAAACACAGTTATCATATGGGAGAGTGGTAAAAAAAGAATAGAAAATCATTTTAAGATATACATTTCATTATTATAATAACACATTATTCAATAGCAATAATTTTAATAAAAAGAAGCGTTTAATAACATTATAATGGAGTGTTTCAAAATATATCTACAATTATCCAAAATACCCAAATTAATTCGTAATAAAGCAACAAAGAAATTATCAAATAATTTAGCAAATAATTAAAGAATTGAAAGTACTTCAAAATAATACTTTAAACTTTGAAACAAAGTAATAAAGCAACTATTATAATTTACAAAATATTTTAAAAATGATACAGAGATTATCTCGGACTAATCAGAGCACTTATGAGTAAAGTGAACATCTTCTGATTTGTCGACATCTTTAAAAGGGTTATTTATAACAGAACTAGCATTGCCCGCAGCTTCGCCCGCGTTCATATGACCAAAAAGCAAGTTCTTAGGTTTTACATATCAGTATACTCTTACAATGCAATTTTTATATTTTTTCTCTGAAATGAGATAATTTCCCGCGGTAAAAAGTATCCTATATGTTGAACCGGCTAACCAGCTATCACCATACCAAATTTCATCAAAATCCCTCCAGTGGTTTTTCTGTGACGCGGAACAGACAGACAGACAGACAAAAATTCTAAAAACTATAGATTCGGCCTCTGTATCGATAATAATGTCTATTTCAATAAGATTTTCCAAAAAATATTTAATGTACAGATTCGACTTAGTTAGAATTTTATTATATGTATAGATTTATCAAGATCGGAAATTAAAGTACTTACGTCTTCTGCACTACAGATGTTTTATAACTTCTAGCTCGTGACAGTCACTTATGGTGGTTCTGAAACACACGCAGTATACACGCAGTTTTGGCTTAATTCAGTCTTTGAACATTATTTTTTACTACAGTTACCTTTCACTCTGACTTTACTTCACTTTTCCATTTTTGGTATTTTTTCTCAATCTTCTCTTAGATCCAAAATTCAACTGATCTTTCGACATACTGCCGGCGTTTTTATATGCATAAACAAAGAACTTTCTAGTATTCAAAAATTCGAAACTTTTCTAGTAATTTTGATTCCTTTCTGGAAAATGTTTTGTTTCTCTTTTACACACGGCAATTTACTGTTAAGTTTTAACTATTCTATACGTAGAACCATTTAGGCTCGCATGTTCTAACTCTCCCTATGCAAGATTATGTAAAATTAATAATATTTTGTAGCCGATAGCATTATATTATGATTCCGCTATAAAATTTTACAAATCCGTTGTAATTTTATAATAAAATAATATCCAACTTATCCCTGTTGAAAAAATCCCATAGAATCCCATAAAAGCGACAAAAGCCACATAGAAACCAATAAACATTTATTGGTTTCTATGTGGCTTTTGTCGCTTTTGATGGGATACTATTGGAATTTTTAAATAAGGATGTTTCTATTGTAAAAGTAAGACAGATAGTATAGTAAATATTGTTAATTGTAAGGTATATAGGCCTACATAAATATATACTTCTTATTGGAAGTTGATTAAACAATTTTTAGTATTGTATAAGTTAGCTAATACAGTAGGCACTTCTCAACATTTTTACTATTATAACCAAGTAACATGTGGAGTTTACCTTTAAGTAGGTAATTGTTATACTGTTACAAGAATGACAAAAAATATATACTGTTTTTATAAATTGTGTAAACAATTGTTGGTAAACCTAAATAAAATAAATAAAACATGGCTATATATATAGGTATGAGATGTGTCCAATTGATTTCTTTGTAATGCTTGTTTATAAAATTACCATATTTGTACCTACCTACCGTATGATTATTTTCAATAACAAAAATGCAGCACTCTATGTAATTGTGTTTTAAAAAGTAGTTTTACAATATTTTTAAATTTTGTGTTATTTTAAAGTGAGTTAAAAATGCCTGATGTGGAATGTAATTATATTATACTTGATTTTAATATAATTACAATCAATATTATTATATTAAAATTATTAATTAATATTAATTATTTATTACATTATCACAAGATGAATACTCTTATCAAAATTCAATTTATATATTTTAAAGGTGCTGAAGTATGAAGTTGGCTATTTTTGCTGCCGTTAGTCACATGACCATGATGCTGAATATGGCAACTATGACCCCAAATGAGATTGAAAAATTTCATCTTTTTCTTAAAAGAACGTCTGTTTTGGGAAATATACCTTTATGTAATGTATTTTTCAGATTTTTTAAACAGATTTAACACATTTAAGTCATCGTAGTCATTATAATTTTTTTCTTAAATAATTTTAAGTACCTATATAATATTCTTTTTATCAGTGTTTGGCAAACACCACCACTGTATCTACTGAATTAACTCTAACTAAAACTCTTCTATCAGGACTTTTTCCGATGTTATATGTATAACTAGTATTGCCCGCGGCTTCGCCCGCGTTCAGATGACCAAAAACCAAATTCTTTAGGTTTTACATATTAGTATACTCTTACAGTTCAGAATTTTTTATTTTTTCTCAGAAATGAGATATTTTCCCGCGGTAAAAAGTATCCTATATGTTGACACGGATAACCAACTATCACCATACCAAACATCAAAATCCCTCCAGTGGTTTTTCTGTCATGCGGTAACAGACAGACAGACAGACGGATGGACGGACGGACGGACGGACGGACGGACAGATAGACAGACAGACAGACAAAAAATTCTAAAAACTATAGATTCGACCTCTCTATCGATAATAATATTTATTTCAATAACATTTTCCAAAAAATATGTAATGTACAGATTCGGCTTAGTTACAATTTTATTATATGTATAGATTAAATGATTCTTATATAGATCCTTCTGAACCCGACGACGCTTGGGAGAACAGTGGCAAATATGAGGGTGATATAATCCTTGACGATTCACAAATACGAGATATTGTTGCTATAGTCGGTGGTACTGCTAGAGCTGGAGATAAAAACTTAGTGTCGCTATGGCCTAATAAAGAAGTTCTTTTTGTTATTGAAGAGGATCATTTTAGTAAGTAGGTAGTTTGGCATATAACTATTTACCCGGCTGCGACGAAACTCAAAGGAGGGTTATGTTTTTGAACTGTGTGTACCTATGTATATTGTATAATGTACATATGTATGTATTTCCGACCCTATGTTCGCTCGTAATTACTAAACGGCTTAACCGATTTTGATGATTCATACGTCAACAGGAAAAAAAGCATGAAGTTGACATAGGTGTACAATTAATGCCCTCCAAATACCTATGTTATGTTCAACGCTGAAGCGAAAGTCGAGCGTACTGCGTAAAGATGGTACATCTCTCGACACCCTTCCATGCCAGTTGCCTCTGGTACTTCTCTAATATCAGACTAAACTGTGAAAGCAACCCTATCGATGAGAGGAAGAATTTATTTAACATTATACTAAATCTAAAAGTCGGGTGAGTTGAAGAGATGCTGCAGCGGGCCGTCGTGGATGAATGCGTGTGTGAAGTCATCGTATATCGTACTATGTGTTTTTGTGTATGTACAAGTATTGCTACAGAGTGGAAGGTTCCGTTAATACTGGCTTTATAGCCGGCGAGCCAACACATAACCTATGTAACCTACCTATGTGTACCATACCTATATGTGTATGTAAATACTTGGCCTAAGAGCCTGTGAACGCCAGACCTTCGTCATTTTATAAAAGCTGAAAGTTTTTCATGGTGTGTAATAAATGCTATGCTAGCAGTCTGATAAATCATCTAATTATTACCCAAGTATTATACATAAAAATCAGCTTTTATGCAATAACGTAAGTAGAATTTTGATTTCATGAAAAGGGTGTCTGGCAAGGGCTTGCCACGATATTAAGTGTCTGGCATTGAATGACGTGATTTTTAATAATATTCTGAAGGTAATACCGAAAAATCACACTTTATTATTTGAAAGCCACCATAGCCTGAACTTCATAATGGTCCATCGTTCTTATCTGTATGGGAGCATGCGCTGACAAACTTTCAGCTTTTATAAAATGATGAAGGTCTGGCGTTCACGGGCTCTTGCTCGATATGTACTTATTAAGTAGGTAGTATGTTTTACATACAAAATTTCACTTAAGCCCGTTGAGCTATTACCGCTTGTAGAAATTGTTATTTCAACACTCTCACTCCACACAAATTTATCTATACAGTTAAATAAAAAGCGTCTGTTTGTAATGTTAAAACAACAGCTTTTTACTAAATGCATATTTATGTATACGGTAGATATACCAATACAACATTTTTTATCATTTTTGTCTGTATGCCTGACTGCCTGTCTGTTTGTTCCGGCTAATTTCTGAAATGGCTGGACTGATTTAGACGAGACTTTCACTGGTAGATAGCTGATGTAATAAGGAGTAACTTAGGCTACTTTTATTTTAGAAAAAATAGGGTTACACGAAAAAAAAACAATAAAAATTGAATAATATCCGATTCAAATAGGGAAGTTGTATACATACCCTAGGGACGAAGCCGAGCGAAGCGAGGGCGAGTCGCTAGTGTATTTATAAAATAAGGGTCATTAATTATTTTTTTCAGATGAACATCAAATAAAAGCAATCAATTATGCTATGGATGAGATAAAACGTGTTTCTTGTTTAAATTTTCGTGAAATAGCAAAAGATAGTACTGAAAATGCGGTTGTTATAGTAGTATGTATTAAATTTTAACTGTTTTACACTTAGAGAGACATTTTCAGACTAAGACGTGAGTATGTATTTTCAGCAGCTCAATAAAACAATTAAATGGACCATCTAACATAAAAACAACATAAAAAAATATGAGTTATTTGTTTAACAACTAAATCAGATAATAAATTTTAAATTGACCTTTATTATTACCAGTTTTCAGACGAACACTAGTAATATAAAGATTTTTGAAATTCGACCGTCGTCATTGTTATTATTACATTATTATTATTTATACCTACGTATAAATAATAATCTATACATATAATAAAATTGTAACTAAGTCGAATCTGTACATCAGATCTTTTTTCACAAAAATTGTAAAAACTATAGATTCGGCCTCTGTATCGATAATAATGTTTATTTCAATAAGATTTTCCAAAAAGTTCCCACGGGAACCATTCATTTTTCTGGGATGAAAGTAACCTGTTGTTTGACCGGCAATATAAAGTATCAGAATGTTAAATTTTACTAAATTAGGTGCATAAGTTGTTGTGTACTAAGCTGTATAAGTTACTATAGTTTTTTGACTATCCCACGGGAACTCTTTAATTTTCCGGAATGAAAAGTATCTTACATGTCGACCGGGGATATACGGTACGACCATGCAAATTTTCATCTAAATCGGTCCAATAGTTTCGGAGATTAGCCCATACAAACAGACAAACAGACAGAGAACCAAAAAAATTGAAAAAATCTGGATTTGTGCTATTTTTCTTCTTACGGGATATAAGAAGATAACTGACTCGGTTTTTAGCATTTTTTTCTATGCACAGACATTCGACCTCTACAGTTTTTTTATATTTATAGATATGTAGAATAAATAACGTATAATAAAACAGTAATATATATTAATGAATATAGTTATAGCGAGTGTACCTTAGGAGATAGACATATACTATTGACAACTTTTCTATCGACCTTTTTAAGACTTACAATTTTCCTATACAATGTTTTGATCTATCTCTTAAGGTTGAGCCAGCGTTAGCCACATAAATTTCTAAGGACAATTCGACAGAACCAGTTATTGTGTTTTCCCGTAGGAAGGAATAATTTGCCTGTCGTAAAAGGTATCCTAAATGTTGACCCGAGTATTAAGTTATCTCTATACAAAATTTAGTTAAAATTTTCAGGTTCAGTACTTTTTGCGTGAAACGCGGACATCGATTTGACTAAGTTAGTTTTATTATAGGTATAGATAAGACATAGATATTGCGAGTGTAACTTAGGAGATAGACATATACAATTCAGAACTTTTATGTAGGACTTTTCAAGACCTACAATTTTTAAGTATATTCTTTTAATGTATGTATGTATTAAGGCTTAGCCAGCGGAAGGTTTCTAGGGAGGACTTGATAAAACCAGTTATTGTATTTTCCCGCGGGAAAGAAAGATTTTCTTGAAGTTATCTAGGCAGTGGTATCCCAGTGGTAACGCGCTCGCTTGGGAAACCGAGTGAAGCAAGTTCAAATCCCGGGTCTCGCACCTCTGATATTTTCATATGCGAATCATTTCTAACACAATTACCACTTGTCTTAACGGTGAAGTAAAACATCGTGAGGAAACCTGCATGTCTGAGAGAACCTAGCAAGTTTTCAAAAGACATGTGAAGTCCGCCAACCTGCACTTGGCCATGGTCTGCACTTGGACTATGGTCTGATCCCCCTCGTACTGAAGGGAGGCCCGTTCCCAGCAGTGTGACGTTAAAAAGAGCTGAATACATACATACAAAAGTACATACAAAAGGTATCCTAAATGTTGACTCAAGTAATAAGTTATCACTTCACCAAATTTCGTTGAAATCGGTACATTACTTTTCGCGTGAAACGCTCATGCAAAAACAGACATACAGGCAAACAGACAAACCGACAATTTATTTAATAACTATTGTTTTGGGGTCTATGTTGTGAACATAATACGTTACGCATAAAAAAAACATCTATCCCACGGGAACAGTAGATTTTTCCGGGATAAAAAGTAACCTATTTGTTATTATAATTAATGAACTGTATTATTGTAACGTTTCATCAAAATCCAATCAGTAGTTTTTGTGTACTAAGCTGTATAAGTTGTTATAGTTTTTTTAACTATCCCACGGGAACTATTTAATTTTCCGGGATGAAAAGTATCTAAGATGTTGTCCGGGGATATAAGGTACCGCCAAGCGAAATTTCATTTAAATCGGTGCAATAGGTTCGGAGATTAGCCCGTACAAACAGAAAAACAGACCAACAGCTCGCTCGGGTTCGTCCATACCTACGAATATGTTTTATTATCTCTTTAACCATTCGTCCAAATTATATGCAGTAAAAACTTTTTAACAAAAAAATAAAAACCGACTTCAAACAAAAGCACTAAAAAGTAAAAAATAACTGATTGGTAGTTTTCATTTACTATACATACCTAATCAAATATTTTCGAAGTCGGTGTGTTTTGGCTAAGTAATTAAAGCCTACCTATTAAATACATACCTAATCAGATATTTTCGAAATCGGCACACCGACTTCGAAAATATTTGATTAGGTATGTATAGTAAATGAAAACTACCAATCACTTATTTTTTACTTTTTAGTGCTTTTGTTTGAAGTCGGTTTTTATTTTTTTGTTAAAAAGTTTTTATTTGTCCCTTTTTAGTGTAGACAGTAGTAGCAAAGTAAGAATTCTAAAGTGTTAGGCTTGTCAAACCAAACAAAATAAGCCCAAACTCAAAGTATCTATTATTAGCCGTTGAAGAGTTCCACCTATCCACCTTCTGGCCTTACCATCAGATCAGGTCAACAATACCGAACCACTGTACTATCAACGGAAATAGAAACACTTGCAAAGTTTCAAGTCAATATGACAATTAGAAGTAGGTTAAATTCATTATTAGCTATTTTTCCACCCTTAGGGGTGGTATTTTTTTTTTATTTAAATGGGACCAATCTGGAAGTATACCCTTTCAATCAAAACAAAAATTGTCCAAATCGGTTAATAAATGACGAAGTTCTGAGGTAACAAACATAAAAAAAAAATACAGTCGAATTGAGAACCTCCTCCTTTTTGAAGTCGGTTGAAAAGGGAAAAGTCTTTTGTTTTAAACATTTTAGACGATAAAATTACTTATTTTGATAAGAATTCATAATTGTTGATAATATGACCAATAAACATGACCTACCGATTTAAATTATTTTTTTAATATAAAAAACTACTTTTTGTGACTTAAATATAAAAGTTAGACGTATGCTGTCGCTGACTTTTTTGTAAACATTATTAAGCTCTACAACTTTTCTCTAGAACATAATCATATATCTCTCATCGTTAAGGCAGCGTTCGTAAGAAACGTTTTCGTTCGACCGTTTTTTCTCCGACTTACTTTGCAAATCCGTTCAAAAAATCAAGGCCTTAAGTTTTATGGCTTAATTATAAAAATATATTAAGCAGGTATATAAGGAACAAAAACCCGTAAAATGCCCCCGCTGTCCAGCTACCTCGGAGAAATGGGGGGATGTAAAATGTTGAAATATTCTTTACAAAAGTTGGGGTGATTTTAAGCCTCCCGAGACCATACAATATAAATTTCTCGGAAACGGCTAACATTTCAATTTCAAAAAAAAAAAAGATTATTAAATATATTATTAAAAATCGTTTTGTTTTGGAAATAGTCGAAAACTTTGAGGTTATTATAAAAGTCGTAGATTTTTAATAGACCTACAACTTTTGTTCAGAATATTTTTCGATAGGATGTCACAGCTAGGCCGAAATTGAAAAAAAAACTATTTTTAAACGGTTTGCTATACTTGTCTTGTTTGCTAATAAACATCTTAAAAACATAAAACTTCAGGTTTTATGTTTTTGTGTAGCACATCGCGATCGGACTATTTGTATAGGGCTATTTAAATTAAAGAAAAACTTAATAACGAATAAAAACTTAATTCGTTTCCAATTAGGCATTTAAAAAAAATTATATTATTCCTTCTTTTCTTAGACTTAAAATTCTCAAAAAAGTATATTTGGCTTTCATGACCCCCATGACCCCCCCTGGATCCGCGCTTGATATGTATTAAGATTGACCGACTTCAAGAATGGTACCTACTCGATTATTTGTTTTTTTTTGTCTGTGTTATGCGATATCATCACTAATAATTAATAATTATTATTATTGTGAATTGATTGATCAATCTTTCTTTGTTGAATGGATTCCATATAAGTTTCAAAAAGAAAATCTACCTGTAAGTCTTGGAAAATTATTCTAAAAGTAATTTTGAATTCGGTGTACAATCTTTTAGTTTTAAAGTATTAGAATATTTGTCTGTCCGTCCGTTTGAACGCGCAATGAACAGTTATGTTTTGGAAAAGCCTCAGACAGTAACCAATATATGTGCGTAAAATGAGATTTATATTCCTAAAAAATATTTTAAACGTTTGAAATTTTTTATTCTGATTATTTTTTTTTATGCCTTTTCCAGGGTAACATGACAGGATGTTTCGCATTCGTCGGGTTTCGGAAAACGAGGCAAACTATAAATTTATCTAATAAAAACGAAGTTCGCAAAGGTTGCTTTCGTTTTGGATCTATTATTCACGAAATGTTACATACTATTGGATTTTATCACACGCATGCGAGAAGTGATCGAGACAATTATATTCATATTAAGTGGGCAAATATTAAAGACAGTAAGTGTACATTGATGATTGATCTATGAAAATTGTTATTGCAGAAGCACCATGCACTAATACACTCGTATAAAACCAAAGAGTTTTTTTGTTTATTTGTTTGAATACACTTATCTTTGCAAGTACCAGACAGATTTGAAATAATAAATGTTTTATATAGTATCTAACACTAAAAATATTCATTCGTGTAGTAACTGGTCAATTTTTGACGTAATTTTTCTTTCTTATTTTATTGAGGAAAGTTAAAAAACGTAGGCATAAGGGGCGAGGCAATTTTACAAAAATCTATACTAATATTACAAAGAGGAAAGATTTGTTTGTTTGTTTGAATCGAATAGGCTCCGAATCTATCGAACCGATTTTGATGAAATTTAGTAAGAAGATACTTTGAGACCCTGAGAAGGATATAGGGTAGTTTTTATCCCTTTAAGGGGGTGAAAAAAGGGATAAAAGTTTGTATGGGGAAGCAACCTAGGGACGAACCCGAGCGAAGCGGGGGTGACTCGCTAGTAAGAAATAAAAATAAACTGCCCCGGACAAAGACCTGTTCTTATACCTAGCTATAATTAAGAAAAATCTAAATTATTGCAGAAAAGTAAATAATTTCCGGAAGTATGTTTCACCCAGTAGTATTGAACTAAAATCAGGTTACGATTACAATAGTTGCATGCACTATGGCCGAAAAGCTTTTTCAAAAACAGGTGAAGATACAATTGTTCCCAAAAAGGTCAGTTATTTATATAAATTACTAGCATTGTCCGCGGCTCCGCCCGCTTTCAGATGACCAAAAAACAAATTCTTAGGTTTTACAGATTAGTATACACTTACATTGCAATTTTTGCATTTTTTCTCAGAAATAAGATATTTACCCGCGGTAAAAAGTATTCTATATGTTGACCCTGATAACCAGCTATCACCATACCAAATTTTATTAAAATTCTTCCAGTAGTTTTTCTGTTATGCGGTAACAGACAGACAGACAGACAGACAGACAGACAGACAAAAATTCTAAAATCTATCTCCTGCCTCCGTATCGATAATAATGTCTATTTCAATAAGATTTTCCAAAAAATATTTAATGTACAGATTCGGCTCAGTTAGAATTTTATTATAGGTATGTATAGTATATATATCAATATATAGTTAACTTATAAAAGTTAAAAATGAAATTAAATATTTTTTTCAAGAGTACAACTTTTTATTTGTTTGTTTTTAGGCTAACGCTGTAATTGGTCAAAGAGAGGGTTTATCACAAGGAGATATAGATAAAATTAATTTATTATACTGCCAATAAGTTAAGTCAGATCATCTTTAATCAGATCTTCTGGACCTCTATCAGAAAGAGATACAAAAATATGTAAAAATAATATCCTCATTAATTAATATAATACATAATATCTATACAAAACTTTCAAATATCTCAGAAGAACTTTAGGGCACCACACGCTGACATTTATTATTTGTTTAAATGTCTTCTCTTAGCTATTTACATATACCTATTTCATTGTGCGCAGCAGTTGAAAGGAAATAAAAATGGCGAGGCAATGTCACAAATATACCTATTATACGTTTCGTACGTCAGCCTGAAAAACTCACTCGTGCGTGATTAATTTGTCGACGTGTCTCAATTTAATAAATTTTGCCTCACGTACCGTTTTACTTACAATTAGTTTAATCAAAAATATTAAGACTAGCTATAAATAACGCTTATATAAAGTTTAGAGCTAAACAACACTAGCTTTAGAAATATATTTGTTAAATGGATATATGTAGGTATTGTGTTTTATTATAGCATTTATTTATATCAGTGTACTAGAAATTCAATCATAATGTTTATTGAAAATTTAAGGAAATAATATACGAATAGAATTTAACTGTCTATATTATAATAAAAAACTGTTCAAACTTGAAATATTCTACGATTTCTGTCGATATTCGATACGAGTCCTGCGAGTATGTACATACTCATATATACATATCTCAAAGCTCAGCCGCAAGTTCCTTGAGTCCGCTTTGGGGAAATATTTTGTTCATTGTAGTCGTTGTATGTATTGTAAATTATATTGAAATAACAAGTTTATTTTTTATGTTATTAGAACCCATAGGTTTCTATAATTATCAACGATTATAGAGTGACAAGGACACATAGCGTAGGCAAGTGCTATGCTGAGTACTGAGTAGCTGTAAGTTCCGGCGATACTCGTACATAGAGAAAAGGAGATGGGGAATGATGATACCGTTCCTATCTTTATTTAAAAAACGTATTTTTATGTTCAGTCTATTTATTGGAATAACAGATTTTTAATTACCTTGTCTACTCTAGTTGTATTTATTATGTTTATGAAGGTTTTAGATTAGTATTGCTTATACACACATACCTATGTACTATATAAGCCATGGATTATTATTCGTGCAATAATATAAAGAAAAAGGCCTGTGTTTTTTCATTTTCGATCACAATAAATCTTTGCCAATATTTTGCAAGCTGAAGTTTGTTTGTTGGTTTGTCCGTCTATTACACAGTTTTTCTGTTAAAATATTCTCAGTAACATCCCAGAGTTGGGAAGTTGGCGGTGTTTCACCTCCGTGCCTCAGAGAGCAAAGCTGTCGGTCCTGCGCCTTAACTTTCACCGGTTATATCGAAGTATCGTCCCATAGGACTTGGAGAGTAAAAGGAACAGAGAGTGCACTTGTGTCTGCGCGTACACTTGTGCACTATAATATCTCCTGCGCAGTTGGCTAGTCTCAATGAGATCGTCCGCCGTAGCCGGAATCGGTCAGGAGGATATTATTAGATAGATTTCAACATAAGCTTCATTTCGTTGCAGAAATCTACGAAATTAGATGTGTTATCCTGGATGAGACTCAAATCCCTATTTTATTATTGGTATCAATTAAAAAATGATGTTGAAAATTGTTCATTTAAATTAAGCGAGTTTCAACAATAGATATGGCAGTATTTTGCAATCTTCTGCTAGTTTCCATGATTGAGAACTCGTGTTCAATTTTTTTAACATTGCCAATTTTTGTGAAAGCGTAACGAAACTAATAAAATTTAGCATTGATTTCCGACAAGTATTCAATATGAGGTTCGACAATGTTATTTCTTTTTGATGTAACATGATTTTACATATTTTCATTAAGTATAGGTACCTACAAGGATAATTAGAAGATATTTACAGTTTATGTTTTCTAAGAGTATCTTTGGTCATTATGAGTAATTACTATATGTAATTATAAATTAAATTATAAGTATTTGTGATTTCAATTACCTTCATTAAGCCTTTGCTATTTATACAAGGAGATAAAGCAATGGTTAAAATATTATGTCTATCTGTTAGTCAGTTTTAAAGCTTCCCGGAACAACTGATTCGATTATAGCAAAATTTTTCCAGACAGTAGATAATGCTAATGAAAATTATGACTCAGGTTACTTCTTAACACAAAAAATAGAAGAACCTATGGAAAAAGAAGTGCATTGATTAATGGTAGAAGCCAAGAAAGAAGAAATGGGCTAAGTCTTATATCTGTCTTATTCTCATTAATATTATTACAGAAGTCATATTATTATCAATGATGATTAAAACTTCTGATAAAATATGTTTCTGAGTGAATACATTTTTTATCGTAAGTGAAAGTTCATGAATGTAAGTGGAATAAATCAGAAAAAACATACCAAGACGAAGCTTATACGTTATATATTTTTTCCAAAAGTATTTTAAGTGTGGATTTATTCCAGTTTTTTTAGTAATTGAAGTAAAACCAACATGGTATAACTTTTATCCGCCAGCCTGTTCGATTTCGCCTTATTTGAGAAATTTTGAATCAATGTTGATTTTAATCTCATTCTAGTATTTTATAGAAATATTAGATACAAATTAATACATAGCTGTATGTTTTATATAAGTAGATATAAGAGAAAGTAGACACGGCTAGCCTATGTCATTTACAAAAATGGCGGACGAAAGATTTACATCTATAGATGCACTCGGCTGCGTAATAAAATAAAATATACCCAAATTCATGTAATTCGCTTATTTATGCGTTACCATGGTAACTCGTGGCATTTGAATCAAATATGGCACGACTAGCTAATTCTGCACGTAAACTATGTACTATCTTTCTCCATCAGAAACTTGACAACATTGTTAAAGACTGTAATTCATTTTATAGAATGTATTAAATGAAAATTCAATTTAATCGTTTTTCTTAAATATTTACAACATTTTCTAAAGGTACATTAAGGCATTTTATCGGAAGTTTGTAGTGAATGAACGCTCACCTATCTATGAACCATTGATGAGATTTGATTACTAAGCTCACTGACGAAAATAAACTGTTGTAGAAATATAAATCGTTATAGCAGACTAAAGAGGAATACCTACACTTGTTTGTGGTTTTAGTTAATGTAAAACAGAATTCATATTTTTATATAAAAAAAGCATTTCAAAGTCTTTATAACACGCTAAAGATGTGAACAGATTTAGCATCCTACATAACTCTGTTTAACCTGCATAACCAGTTGGTTGTTAAATGATATGAAATTAATATTCATTGCTACTACAATTATCTTCATTGATATTTCCATATAAAAGTATATACAATTTAATTGAGTTAAGTAGCTTTCTAATTTTAAACCTTCTTTAAAAGTAGTCCTATTTTTATTACACAATGGGATTGCTTTTTATAAAAAGAATTATTAATTGAAAGAAGTTGCTAATTTATAGAACAATTTCAAGTAATATGGGTTACTTGAATCAAGGTTTTCTTCAATGGTAGAGTAAGTCGAGCAGTAAATTTAGCAATTGGTTTTTGCACCGGTGGCTTTACCACGGCGCGCGGCACGGTCGCTGTCGCAAGAAGCAGCAGCAGTACCGCGCCAACACCTTGTGAAATGGTCGTATCTAACACTATATTAATTCCCGACCCGCCTCGGTGGGTTTTGTTTAACAAAAACTTTGCGCTGTGCCACAAAAAATCTAAATTCGCAAGGTTTCTTTCACTGTCTAAAATTCTAAGCAATGTGATTGAACCGTTAATGTGACATACTTTTTTACCAAGTGATCGAGTCATCGCCTATGAGAGGACAATACTAATGTGTTTATTTTCCAATTTCACCTTTTAACATAAAGAAGATATTTAATTATGAAGTGGGTTGTTGTTTTTAGTTTATATTGTATGTGTGTCATCAAGTGTTTGGCGATGTCTCAAGCTGAACTAGAAGATTTTAGTACTTTTTTACAAGAAACTTCGCAATTGGATCAGAATGTTAAGAGTAAGGATTTTTTTAATACATATTACATTTATTATTTCATATTTTTTTCTTTATAATCTTTTTATAATATTTATACGTAATTTAGTAATTGAAAAATTAATACTTGATATAAGATGCCTTCCACACTATGCATGTATTTAGGTATATTATAAATCCATGAAAATGTGGCTATACATTTGCTACATGAGGGGGCGAACCCGTGACCCAAGTTGTACAAGGGTTTTGGTTTTATTCATTTTAATAGTAACATATTCAATGATTATTTTTATAATAATCATAAAAAAGTTGAAGCTTTTATACAATTAATTTTATTTTCTTCTCAATATCGTATGTTAAGGTAACATTCCTAACGACTATGACGATGATGTCCATGTATCTGACCACGCTTGGGAAGAAAGCGGCAAATTTGAGGGTGACTTGATTCTAAATGATCGACAAAGACGTATGATAGTAGCTAGTGTCGCCGAGGGACTCGCTCGCAATGGTATATCTGACACAACGAAACGTTGGCCGAATAATGAAGTAATTTACTACATTCAAATCGAACATTTCTGTGAGTAGTTTCTACTTTTTGTAAAAACAGTTTCACTTTTTAGTATTCCCCGTCGTTGTAATTTGTTGAGTCTGTAACCAGTTATTTAATTAAAAATGATACTATAAATGTCATATTATCATTTTGTGATTGTAAATAATAAATATGTGAATTAGAATAATATGTAGAGATTGTGTCATGATGTCAGTGTTTCACAATAGTAACGGTTTGCCGCACAAGTGTCGTCAATACAACTATGTTGTCAACTAGCGCTATTGTTGTATTGTGTTATACTTAAAGAAAAGTTACCATTTGTTCTTTATATTATTGTTGCTTTAAATGCCGATATATCTTTTTTCAGCAAATGATCAAATCCAGTCAATTCAAAATGGTATAGATGATTTAGCTAGAGCTTCTTGCGTAAAGTTTACGCCATACAAAAAAGGAGATCGCGATGCAGTTGTAATACAGGTATATTTTGTATTTAAATTAATAAATACAATAATCCCTCCACGACCGCGGAAACACCGCCGTGTCAGTTAACAATAGATTTCTTAGAAATTTAATTAATTTCAGAATTTTTTTCTCAGAAATTTACCTGGAGGTGATAACTTTAATATATTTATTTAAGTTTAACATACACCACACAACTTTGGCCAAAAATTTCTTATAAACAAGATAGTTCGATTCCCGACTGTAAGCACCTGTAGACTTTGATTATTGCGTTTTATTCAATTAAACTAGTTTTTGTTAATTTGATATAATTGATTTTAGGGCAGCAGAAGAGGATGTTTTTCACAAGTAGGATATCAAGGAGGATACCAAATTATGAATCTTAATAGCCGCCATCCAGCGGGACGAGGTTGTTTCCGCCATGGAACTGTTGTACATGAAATGTTACATACACTAGGATTCTACCACATGCAAAGTAGTCCTGATCGTGATGATTATATTGATGTTTTATGGCCTAATATTCTCAAGAGTAAGTAAAAACTTCTTGGTTTAAATAATTGAAAATTATTGCTTATTTAATAAGATTTATGTAAGTAAATAATTAATGACGATTTAAAGATTTTGAAAATATAAATATAAAAAAATATTGCTTTATTATTGACTAGCATCGCCCGCGGCTCCACCCGCGTTCAGATGACCAATGACCAAATTCTTAGGTTTTACATGTTAGTATACTCTTACATTGCAGTTTTTGTATTTTTTCTCAGAAATGGGATATTTTCCCACGGTAAAAAATATCCTATATGTTGACCCGGATAACCAGCTATCATTATACCAAATTTCATCAAAATCTCTCCAGTGGTTTTTCTGTGATGCGGTAACAGACAGACAGATAGACAGACAGACAAAATTTTTAAAAACTATAGATTCGGCCTCTGTATCGATAATAATGTTTATTACAATAAGATTTCCCAAAAAATATTGAATGTACTGATTCGACTTAGTTACAATTGTATTATATGTAGTATGTACCTATACTCGTAGGTGTATAATAATTAATGTATGTGCGTGTATGGAAATACATACGCAGTAATATGGATTTATAAAAACATAAATGCATAAATGTATAATTAATGTATATATATATATATATATATATATATACATAATATGTATATATATATATATATATATATACATATATATATATATATATACATATATATATATATATATATATGTATACTTATTTGCATTTTACAGAAGCTAGACACAATTTTCGGAAATATAATTCATTCTCGGTTTCGGACTTTGGTGTGGGCTACGACTATGACAGCGTCCTACATTATAGCCGTAAAGCATTCTCTGTAAATGGACAAGATACTTTGGTTCCTAAACAGGTAAAAATATTTATACTATTTATACTAATATTTTCCATGACAAATCGTGACTTTCAAAATGTTAAATAAACTCTTTAAACCTTTTTTTTTACTTTTAGCTTGGTGCACAAATAGGGCAAAGAATAGGTATGTCCGACAAAGATATTGAAAAGCTCAACAAAATGTATTGTGATGCAGATTCAGACCTCCCCTCTGATAGTAATGATTCAATTCAAAAAGTACACAAGAAAAAACATAAAAATAAGCCATTTGAAGGTCAAGGATTGGGATACCAAAAAGGTAAAATTGTGATTATAAAATTACCAAAGGAGTATGAATTCCAAGATTCACCTCAATATACTGAATTTGATTATTTTAGTAAACCAGAGGGACAGAATCCGCTTATTCAGGGAGCTAGAGCTAGAGAAGAAATGACTATAAAAAGTTTTATAATACCAAACAGAACGATTATGAAAGCTCGTCTACCATTACCATCACTAAAACTACATCATGGGCTAGCAGACGATGTTGTTGTAAAAACATACAATGAGAAGCAAAATACAGAGGGAACTTTGTCAGACCATTTTGGGGATGATTTAACAGAAGCTTTTTATAGATTGTCTCGAATAAAAGAACCTCAAACTCAAATGAAGCAACCACAAGGAGACGATGATCGCAGTGAATTATATAATTTTAAAGAATATTCAAGTAGAAACGAGGAAAATCCTTTAAAGTACAAAGAATTTTTTGATCATAGTTATTTGCCCAAGCAAAGTAGTGCGAGATATTTACCAATAGTTAAGCATGAAGCGAAGAATTTCTTCAAGAATTCATTTTATGACGAACAGAATACACCAGTGAGAGGAAAATGGTATAATGCTGATGCATTTAAAAAGAATCACAGGGATGGAACTCCTTCATCATTTGATTACAGATAAGATTAATTTAGCCGTAGCACAAGAAGAAATTTTAAACTGAACTAATAAGTATTCATTGTTTTATGAAATTTTATTTTTAAATTTCATAGGGCAATAATATTCAAGTGATACGTATAACCATAAATAAATTGTGATATAGAACAGGATCTATCCTGGTCTACCATGGGCAAATTTATAATTAGTAGACCTTATATATTTTAAGAGTCCTCGAGAGAATGGACATTTATTGCAAATGAGTTTTTGTAATTTATTTTATATACTAATAAGATAAACAATTGATATGTAGAAATTAATCAATTAATGTGTTAATTTTATAGTTACCTACATGTTGAGTTTGTATTAAAATTGTTATAAAGGCAATATCGCCAATCGCCATAAAGAATTAATGCTAATTACAAATCTGTACTAAGTAGGTAGGTATATAAAAGAGAAAGGTTGCTCAAGTATAAAAGTTGTAACAACTAGTAGTTACTACTATTTTAATTTTTACAAATATTAAGATTACTTTGATTGTTTTGACAGTATTATAAAATTTGTTTGTAAATAATAAAGAATACATAAGTGTTAAAAATGTTTTTTATTCTAAGTGTATATAAGACTGTGTATTAAATTAAGTACAATATGCGACAGAATCACCGGCAAGATCCAGTTAGGGCCCGAATGAATCAAGGATGAGTCGCTAGTTTATTTTCAAAATTATCTAAAAAGTTATTATGAATGCATTTCCCAACGTCAAAAAAAAAGGGTATAAATTTAACGCTATACACTTAGTAAAGGAACGGGCTAAATAATAATTATAGTTTGTCCATTTTTTAATAGTTTTTTGACAGCTCACGCTCATTTTGTTTTCGCCAAGTTTCGTATTGTTTAATTTAAATTTTCATACAAATGTAATGTACTTCATGGACGGGTACCGCCCCCTTAGTGATGTGCCACACATAACGATTACTATGATTGTGCCACAGATTAAAGATAATAGGTAGAAATAAATGCTAATATGTAAATAAGGTGTAATATGCTATTTAATCAGGAAGACAACAAAATTTTAAGGTTGAAACCAATAAATTAAAATATTAACATTATATAAAGTTGACTAGCACAGGCGTTTGTTGTGAGTGACAGACTACGTCAAAATGGTGATCGGACGGACGGTCGGTTGAACCTCAGAATGAATGTAAATAAATCATACGTGTAGCGCCCTCCTTTAAAGAAATCTTCCCTATTCATTTGTTACTGACGACATAAATAATAGCGATACTTCAGTGTGCTGCCATTTCTTAATTCCGTTTATATGTCATTCTGTGGACTGTGGTAAGAGTCTAGACTCTAAACATTTGACAATGACATATTGTCAATATAAATAGGTACTTCATTGCTGTTTTGATAATAAAATAAGCAATTATGTGACTAATATTGTTGAAGTTCTATTACCTGATACGTTTGCACAAGATTATGATAAAGGAAACGATAAACATTTTCGAAATGATTATTACAAGACGGTGACATTGCTGAGCTTCAGATATTTTTAAAGTACTTGTTATTGTGCTTATTTTTTACTCAATATTTAATGGGTTGTGTTATATCAGGATTGCAACGCACAATGTCTCTATTCAGCAGACATTCTAATAACTCTGAGGATATGCAAGCAAAATTAGAAAGAAAAATGTATCTTGCTCGAGAATCCCCAGAACCAGATTTCGATTTATCAGACTGCCAGCTTCGACGTGTGCCTTCTGGGATATTTTCTATATGTAAAGTGTTTAGAAAAGATAATTTATATCTACATAACAACCGCTTGCAGTCTTTAGAAGAAGGAGGTCAGTTGTCAGATCTGAAACTTGTTAAAGTTTTAAATTTAAGCAGCAATCAATTTTATCAAATTCCTAATGGAATTAAAAACTTATTAAGTCTAACAGAACTTTATCTCCAGAATAATTACATAGAATTTTTACCAGATGAAATAAAATTCTTGGAATCATTACAAATATTAGATGTGTCAAAAAATAAGATAAGAACATTAAATCCGGCATTGAGTGAATTAAAATGCTTGAGATGTCTAAAAATATCTAATAATGAACAATTAAATAAACTTTGTGTAGAGCTGTGTTTGGCAAAAAATTTGATTTCACTGGAATTAGATGGGGAAAAATTTGTTTTTCCTCCTGCTGAAATAACTACTAAGGGAACCCAGGAAATAATGAAATTTTTATGTTCAAAAATGAATATTGAATATAGTTCACCAGCATCTGTTATAACTGTTATGTCACCTTCACAAGTTCCTAGCACAAATTATAATGTATTTGGGAGACAAATAAGTTTTACATGGGAGGAGCAAGAAGCTGCTATTGTAGAACAGGAAAATAAAATACATAAAGCTAATCAAAAGCAAAGAGAAAAATTCTTATCTACATTTTTGCAAGAACAACAAACATTAGATACTGAGATAGCTAAGCTTCAAGAAAATAGAGAAATTGAAAGGCAAAATCTGATGAAAGTAATACAGCAAGAAGAAGAAGAAATTGAGTGTTTGGTTAACAACTTTATTCAAACTGACCGATTGAATCCAGAAGTAGTTCAACAACAACTTGCTTATGAGGAAGCTGAGCACAACCGCTTACTTGAAATTACGAGACAAAATTATGATAATGTAAAGAAGGCCGATATATTATATGCAATGCAAAAGCTTTTAGAGAACGATTACTCAGTACAGTTACAAAAGAGTAGTTATAAAGATGGTTTGAATAATATTAAACAAAATCTGCTATCACAGGAGTTGGAAGGTGAAAAGAAATTAATAAACCTTCTGAATGCCAAAGACCAATCTCATACAGCTTTAGTGCAACAACTACTAGAAGATCAAGATATACAAAAAGCCATTGTTTCGTCACTGCTTGATCGAGTTGATGCAAAAAGTTGGAGTCTTAATCAGGAAATTTCATTAATTTCTACACATTTAGCTAGGCTTAGTGTGATTGAACAAGAAAAGAAGAAGATGCAAATAGCATTTAATTACAATGAGCTTTTATGTCAAAGGTTAAAGCTAGTGGATCTATTAAATGATCTACTTGATCAACAAAGTAAGAGAAGAAAACAGTTAATTGAAACCATGAAAGAAGCTGAGAGTGAAGTCAATAAACCTAACGATTTTTGGCTTAAGAGCTATCAGAAACTACTGGATTCTGCTCCAAAATCTTTATTTAACATAAAAAAGCTAGATCCTGTCTTTGCCAATTACCTTTTGCAGGAAGGAGTAATTCATTGTTTACCCTTTTTGGTAAAGTATTTATTCTCAGGTGAGTCTCTATTACATATTACTCACGAAAATTTAAAGGAAGCTGGAGTCTCGTTAAGCTCAGATAGAGATGGTATTTTGAAAGCTTTAAAATTATATATTCAAATAAAAAGTCAAAAGTCTTGCAACATATGTTCAGAAGAGACTGATAAACTTCAAAACATAACATATTCTAGTCCGAATGCCCCACCTTTAAAATCAGACAAGCAAAATGTCTCTGGGGTTCTAAATATTAATGATGATGAAAAAGAAGACATAAATGTCGAGGGTGAATGTGTAATTTGCATGGATACCAAGTCGGAAGTAGTTTTCGTGCCATGTGGTCATATGTGTTGCTGCCAATCTTGTTCACAAAAGGATTTGGAAGGCTGTCCCATGTGTAGGACTGATATAGAAAGGACAATTAAAATTATATTATCATAAAGCATGATTATGACATTGTTGTAACATATTTTTTCCATAATATTTTTTGTTTTCTGATAATAAAATATTTTGCTCTTAGAAACTTTAAACTTCTTATGCTTATTTTAAATTTTTTTTTTCAAAATGCGTCATATTTATACAAATTAAATTTGTAATTTCTAATTACATGCTTATTTATAATTAATGTTTTGTGTTTTTTTTTAATAATAAGATATATATTTATTGATATTATTATTTAAGTATCAATCACTTTTTGCCTTTTGTCATTAAATCCATACATATAATAAATTTGTTACTAAGCCGAATCTGTACATTAAATATTTTTTGGAAAATCTTATTAAAATACACATTATTTTCGATACAGAGGCCGAAACAATAGTTTTTAGAATTTGTCTTTCTGTTTGTCTGTCTGATACCGCATCACGGAAAAACCACTGGAGGGATTTTGATGAAATTTGGTATGGTGATAGCTGTCCGGGTCAACATTTAAGATACTTTTTACCGCGGGAAAACATCTCATTTCTGAGAAAAATACAAAAACTGCAATGTAAGAGTATACTATTATGTAAAACCTAAGAATTTGGTTTTTGATCATCTGAACGCGGGCGGAGCCACGTTCAATGCTAGTGTCATATAATTTACTTTAACAATTTTCTCTATTTCACTTCTTGTATAATACTTATTTCTTCATTTTCTCTGAAAAGTCTAAGCTGTTCAATCGTTATAATACTATAAGTATTACATAAGTCTAGAGTACACAATTAATATTTTAGTTTTAAGATTTGCACCTATGGTGTACGACTGGTCATAAGTTAATTAAATGTACAAGGTAAAATTAATATTTCAAATACGTCATTGTAATTGTAATATTAGTGGATAAATATTGTGCAATAAACAACTGTTATGTTAAAATTATTTATTACAAGCATTCATATTATATTTTTTAAGGTGTTTAAATTTGTTTTAGGATGTTTATTATAATTTAGTGGATGAAAATAAAAACTGCCAATTTACCGCACACGTAATAAATATATGTAATAATTAATTATTTAAATGTATATTAACTGAAGTTCATGTAAAATTTTTACAAATTTACAAATAATTTCGATTAATAGGTAATCTTGGTCCTTTACCTTTTCAAATTATTTTTAAATGTCATGTCTACATTGTACCTACCTATTATTAACTATATTTTAAAAAATCGGTCAAGTGTGAGTCGGACTTGACCGACACAAAGGGTTCCGTACCATAATCGTTTTTTTTTAAATTTGAATGGCAGCCTTTTTGAAATCGCCATATTGGTATTTTATTATTTATTGTTATAGCGGCAATAGAAATACACACTGTGAAAATTTCAACTGCAACAACAACATATCCTAGAAACAGCGCTCTGACAGACGGACCAACGGACAGCGAAGGCTTAGTAATAGGGTTTCGTTGGCACCATTCGGGTACGGAACCCTAATACTCATAATTGTGTTAAAGTGCCTTCTTAATATTCATCCTTGTTTAAGTGTTTAGCTAAACTAAATCTGAGTGAGTGACGTAAAAATACATTCAAATGTGATAATATGAGATGTATGAAGTCCCTCATTAAATTAATTTCTTTTATTAATACAATTTCGTTCTTATATTTTAACAAATAGAACATCTTTTAGGTAAAAGCGAATGGTGAACTTATTTATTTTTATTATTTGATGGGGCTATTTGTGACTGTTTTTACTTACTACATATTATATTATGATAATAATGGATATTCTTCAACGTTTTTGTTTTTAATTGTAATGTAACGATTAAAGACAATTTGATTTTATTGTAAGATACTATAATAAGCTAGAATAGTCACCTATTTAATCCTTTTATTATATCTTCTTACCACCTGTTTAAAAAAATACATGGCTTTAACACATTTTGTATTTTTATTTAATTACTAGCGACTCACCCTAGCTCCGCTCGGGTTCGTCCCTGGGGTGGGGTCTGGGAGGACCACCCTTATCCCTTATCACTTAGGGGTATGGAAAATAGATAGTAGCCGATTCTCAGACCTACTGAATACGCATATAAAATTTGGTAAAAATCGGTAAAGCCGTTTCGGAGGAGTACGGTAACAAACATTGTGACATGGAAATTTTATATATAAGATATTTCTTATACTTAATATGAGCGAATCTTAAAATTGTACTGTTGCATTAATATATAGACGTAAGTACATTTTGTTATTACCTGACTACGGCTAAGACAAAGTAGGGTTATATATTTGACCTATAAGTATGTATGTACAATGTTCGTTGTACATATTATGTGCGTCGGATCCTCTGTTTCTTAATTACTAAACGGCTTAACCAATTTTAAAGATACATACTTACGTTGTAAGATTCGTCTTGATAATGGGATTCTTACAGGCTATATGGATTTCATTAAAAATCAAAATGGAGGATTTTAAGCGCCAACATGTTTTGAAAAAATGTGTTTTATCAAAATGAAGGTTTTTAAAAGGCGATATAACAATAGATATATAGAATATTATAATTATATCAAATTCAAACACCCCTAAGTGATTTGCTACGATATCATATGTCCTGTTGTATATATATGTAACCTAAGCTTCACCTCTGTCCCAGTAAGAAATGCATTGTAAAACCGTAACCTGAGACGCAGGTTTTTAACCTAGTTCTAGGTTCCAAATTAAATATCGGAGCTACTCTATCTGTTAATCATTTATATTATGTAACTTTGTACAAGCTATATGAATAAAATTATTAAAAAAAATTATCAAATTTTTAAATAAAATGGTAAGTAACTGACCAAAACTGAAAAGCTATAAATAAAATCTATCCATATAATAAAATTGTAACTGAGCCGAATCTCAACATTAAATAAGTATTTTTTGGAAAATCTTATTGAAATAGACACTTTTATAGAGGCCGAATCTATATTTTTTTGTATTTTTGTCTATTTGTCTGTTTTTGACCGCATCACGGAAAAACCAGTGGAGGGATTTTGATGAAATTTGGTATGATTGATAGCTGGTTATCCGGGTCCATATATAGGATACTTTTTCCTGGGGGAAAATATCTCCAATCTGAGAAATCTATTTAAACTTAAGTAGGGACAAACTCGAGCGGAGCGAGGGTGAGATGCTAGTATAATATGAATTATAAATAAATTCCGACTGCGAACAAGGAAAATAACAAGGTTGGTATCGAAGAGAGATAGAGATATATACATACATACATACATACATACATACATACATATATATATATTTTTATCTATGCACTAACTTTATTATAAAAAAAAATTATACACACAATGAAATTAAAGCTATTACTTTTTATTAATTTTTAACGAATAATTAACAATTTTAACAATACTAAAATAAATAAGAGTAGCGATGATGTGAACGTCCGTCCGTTCCGGCAGCCACGACAAAAGTAAGCTAGCCGCTCCAGTGTCGGCGCCTCGTGCGTTGTCAAGCGAGCCACCACTCCACCATCACGCCACAAATTACGTTACTCAAGCCACGCCCCTATTCTTGAGCATTCTCCGCTAACACGGCCTCTCCTGACGGCGGAGCGCCCTCGCCCGCTCTTTCAGCTATGGTGACGTCATGTAGGTGCGACGGGCCAGCGATGATGCTATCGTCAGAGCAGCTCTCATTCTCATCACCTGGAAATATAATGTTTACGATGGAATTATGCCAACAAAATAAACCATACCAGCAATAAAATACTGAAAAATTATAATTCAACAACAGAGGCCGCAGCATGTTCTTAAATACATGAATTTTAACATGTGTCAGAGCCCTCAGGATGACCGAGACAGTGACCGCGGTATATCTCAAAATAAAACAATTATACATAACATGTTATGTGTCAGAGCCCACAGGATGACCAACATGTAATAAAGTACAATTTTTATTATATCGCTTAAGTGATACAATGCAAATAGTCCCTATTACAGTTACAAATATACTCACACTCGAAGAATACGGCGCACACATCTGGTGTTCATTCTCCGTGCCAAGCACTTATATGCTCAGCAACAGCTTCTGTGGTCTTCCCGAGTGAGCCAGAAATAAGCTTCAGCTCGTATCGACCATGAGGTAATGCGCGCACAACTTTGTACGGACCGCGCATGCCAGAGTCAAGTTTGCCCACAGATTGACTGTTCTTATGTACGAAGACCATGTCATTTTCATGAAAAACATGTGGGGGCTTGCGCCGTTCATTTACTCGAGTGTCTTGCTGTTTTCTGTATTGATCCAGCAACTGAGATGCTCTTTGTCTGGCCAGCTCACGTAAGGCCTCGCGATTGCCACTTGTTCCCTCAAGGGCCACATCACGCACAACTGAACGGATAACGGGCGTCACACCATCGCTGCCAATTAACAAAAATAAGGGTGAATATTGAGTGGACTTTTGTTTCGTAATGTTCAGAGTGAGCTGCAGTTTCCATAAAACTTCTGACCAACTTTCATTTCTAAAATTAACCTCCACACGAATCATATTCAGAATTGTCCTGCAATATCGTTCAGCCTGACCATTACTCTGATGCATCTCAGGTGTTATTAAGAATAAACTACTGCCCACGTCTGACACCCATTGTTTAAATAATCTACTCTCGTACATTCTACCTCTATCGACTACAATCTGCCTAGGTGTACTAAATAAGGATATAGCATTCTCAAAGACACGCTTCAGTTCATTAGCGTCTTGTTTATATATTGGATACAACAAACAGAACTTACTATATGCATCAACTATTAATACAACGAATTTGTAGCCGTTCGACTCGGGGAGAGGACCTAACACATCACTATGTACCGTATCAAAAGGTACGTCAGGTTTTCTCCACGACTGGATCGGCTGCAAAGGTTGACGTGGTACCTTTTTATGTGAAAGACATACTATGCAATGACGTATATATTTGCGGACAAATTGTCTTAAATTAGGGAACCAAAAATGATTTAGAATTAAATCAATTGTTTTATCTGC